GTGGGTGCAATCCTTGCCTTACCTATGACTAAAGAGTAATGCACTTTGTCTTCTGTTACCACTTGGGTATATGAACACTGACCGTACCCATATTCCTTGGTAAGGAATATACCAAATATTCTTGGGACAGTTCTCTCTGTGTCTCTATCCTGACAGTCACCGTCCATGAACTTAATATGTCATCCTTGAATTTGGGATTTTTCTCAGATTTCCCTTTCAGCTGCTTCAGCCACACAAGAGCCAGCCGCTTATTGTTTAGCAGTTGTGGGCGTGTCTTAAAGGGGAGAGGCATTTCTAGGTGCCCATCCCCATTCTGGTGTATCCTTTCATTCAGTAACTGCTTGAGCTGTATATCATTATGTGATATGCTCTTTTTCCCAGGATTAGTATCTCTGAAGTCAGCTTCAAGGGCTCTGATTACAGTGGCTGGTGTCAGTGGTGGTCTTTCTTTGTCAGCTACACGATGGCACAGACCTGTCACTTCTGTTGACTTGCAACCTTTGGTGAGCTGCTGACAGTGCTCCAACCCAGGTCAGTCTTGATGCCATACAAGTCATCGTCATGTCCTGTGATGACTTGTTGTGGAGCCAAGGCTTTGGGGCAGTCATAGTCTATGAGGTGTCCAACCTCATACTCCATCAGCTGTGGTATTTTCTGTGCTATTCTGTTCAGATGTTTTCACCTTTTGTCAGTTTCAGTAGTAGGAATGTGAGAACGCTCAAGTGGGATGAAATCTCTGGTATAAGCAGGTGGCAAGTTGACAAAGCTTTGTGAGGAAAATCCTCTAACTCTAAGACCATTGACTCTGAAAAAAGGAATCTTTTCCCATCAAAGCGGTAAGCTTCAACTTGACTGGCCCTGATCCCACCCCCATCTTCTCACATATCTCTTGGTCTACAAAAGTGTTGCTACTCTGTGTATCTAACAGGGCATACACTAAGGTCTCTGTTTCAGGGGTGGTGGTTGAAGACATCCCTATAGGCACTATTATGGATGTGCTCCTACCATCACACAGCAAGACAGGGAGGATGTGTTTTCCTCTGCTTGTTTAGCATGAGAAGAGGATGTGTTTGTAGCAGCAGGACGATCTTCATGAAGTGCTGTTGGTTGAGGTTTCATACATATGCCACAAGTAGCTTTATTTTTGTAGTCCTTGGAGTCATGGCCTTCCCTTAAGACAGCCAAAGTACAGGTTGTTGTCCAATATGAACCTTTTCTTTTCCTGTAGGGGTTTACTGGCGAGCTTCTGGCATTTGTGGATAGAGTGATCTCCTCCAGAGAACATGCATGGGACTGGGTTTGGAGATGGAAATGAGGTGCTCGCTTTCTTTGATCCCCTTGAGTCCTTTGAGCTGTTCTCCACAGCACTGTATGTTTTCATAACTGTAGTTCATTTATCTGATGCTTTCATGTTTGTGATGAATGCATTAGCTTTTGGGCACTTTATGTCTCTAGTTGGCTTTTCTTCAACATGTTTCAAAGCATGAAACAGTGTCACAGGATTGCATCCAATATCTGCTTCTTTGGCCACAACATCAGCAAACTCCTTGAAACTGGGGTATTCCTCTGTTTGTTGTAGCTGCTTTGTATCGTGTTGATTCTGGTGAGAGGTCAGCCAGGGAACCTCTGGAGCATCTTTTGATTTTCCTCAGTCATTTGGCACCTGGAGCCCCTTGATGTGTGGCACAGTGTTGCTGCAGGCTGACAGAAAATCACTGAATGAATTGAATCAGTCTTTGGCCATTTATTCAGTTTCTCGCTTAATACCCGCTGGATTACAAAAGGATGGCCGTACCATACCCTTTGTTGGTGCTTTAAGTATAACACAGTTTGTTCTTGTCTTTTTTATGCAGCTTAAGTGGCCACAAAAGCCGCACAATCCTGCTGTGAATTTCTGCAAGACTGGTTGAAACAGGGGCTCTCAACCTTTATAACTTAAGGCCCACTTCTGATTGTTCAATACTTTCCAAGGGCCGCGTCCCCAAATAACATGATCAAAAAAAGAAGAAAAAATAAACTGGCCTGTAAATACATGATATGCCACTGTCAGCTGTTAATGTTGTGTTGTATTTAAGTGTCTCTGGAGCTTTGATGGTTTTAGCGCCACGTTTGACAGGATTTCACTACATTGAACACACAGTGTGCTTACAGTTCAGCATCACTAACTGCCATTATGGATCCAAATTTCATGTATTCAGGGTCACACTCCCTCATCACACACTGTGGAACTTTAACTGGCGCAGGCTTGTCTCCCACATTACTTTACCGTTTCAAAAACAGACTCTTTTTGCCACACTTCATCTGAGGGAATGTTAGTGAGCTAACAGTAGAATGGTTTGTTTCTACCAGATAATGTGTCATGATTGGCGTGATGATATTCAAATGTGACTGGTCAGTGAAATTATGTATTTTTATTTATGAGCAAATATAGATATAAAAATAACTAGCTTTGTAAATTACAAAAAAAATTGATTTTTTATTTAATCTAACCACTACTCACTGGATGGCACTCACCCACTAGTGTGCCGCTGCCAATTGTTTGAGAATCGCTGGTTTAAAGCAGTGGATCCCAACTGGTCCAGTCACAGGGTCCAGATTTCTCTTTAGTCATTTATTCAAGGTCCTAACACTTTAATACATTCAGTGTCATGCTTGCGTGTCTTCAAGCTACTTTGCTGTGTCTCTCTCAAGTAGCTGTCTGTTAGTCACTCACTCTACAACAGGAAATGTCACTTCAAAATAAAAGCTCTGTGACAGAAATTCACTGTACTAATAAAAGAATTAAGTGTGTTTTTTTTACAAACATGACACATTTTTAGGTCACTTGCTGTCCATTCAGAATGGACTCGTGACCCACCTTTGGACCACGACTGACCAGTTGGGAACCACTGGTGGGTTAGCATGCTACCTTAATTTTGTGAAAACAAACGTTTTCTCGCATGCACCCACAGTAAACAAAGAATCCAAAAAAGGTGAACATGCTAAATGTGTTGAAGTAAATGGGAACCATGATTAACAACAGCAGGATTATATCAAAATGTCCTCTTACAAACTCTCACACAACTCCTGCAGTATGATCCAAATCTCTTTTATTCAGTTTTCGCAAACATGCATTTTCACTATACACATTACAATTTAAAACACACCAATACAAACACTTTCATGCTTGGCCTGGGCATACCTGGGCACACATGTGCATGTGAACTCTGCTTAAGCGGAGCTCATATACACGTGCATGCTGAGTTAGCTCAGGGTACGCTAGTCACACGCTGAAGTGTGTTATATTCTAAATGTTTTGAATAGATTAATGCTTGAAGTTTTGTGTCTCATTAGGCAGCAATGGAGCTGATTTAAAAGTCAGGAACGATGCTCAGCGCATCATCCTCGTCATGTTCCTTGGTGGCTGCACCTTTTCTGAGATTTCAGCCCTGCGGTTCCTCGGCAGAGAGAGAGGTAAACATGGGCTGGATGCTGATGTTACAGGAGAATAACATTCATGCACTTTCACTGATATTCACCAGCACTGTTTTGCTGCCATAACTCCTGGAAATCACCCAACATCCAAAGGAAGAAAACATCTCATGTTACTTTCAGCAACAATAGTTATTCAAAACTAGGTTTTACACCCTTATGTATTTGTGTAAGACAAAAAAAATTAAACCTACTTACATTCAGTAGCTGTGAAGAATGTGTACAGCGTGGCTGGGCTTTAAAGGAAATGATCATTTGGAATTCAGTTAGTCACAACATGTTATCCTGGATTTGTGGAGAAAACTGTTTTTCACAACCGCAAAACTATATTGAAACATCTTATTACAAACTCTTTCACAACTTGTGCAGTATGATCCAAGTCTCATTTATCCAGTGGTAGGCTCAGTTCTGGAAACTGCAATGCATGACTAACGCCTTAGTTCCACTTATGTATGTATTATGTATGTACGGAGATGAGTCAACCGGAAGTCCATTCATTGCTATGGGAATCTCCGTGACATCTGATATGCCTGCAAAACTCCTACCCTCTGTAATATTTCGGTCTGGAATTTGCCTCGAGTACGTTTAAAAAAAAAACAAACTTTTGCGGTGGATTTCAGAGAGACTGTATGGCAGTGTGCTAGCTTAGCTAACAGGCTGCTAACTAGCTCACAGGCTAGCCTTCAATTCACTTGCCTGTGTTGATTTTCAAGAGAATTGTATGATTAAAAAGAACTTGTTCTCTAGCTAGTTTTAAGATGTTTTGAATCTGAGTAATGTTATTCTGCTAAAATATAGTTATACATGATATACAGTCAGTTTGTCATTATCAGTTTGATATGAAATAGGGTCAGATTTATCAGTCTGATGTGATATACAGTCATCTTTATCAGTTTGATATGAAAGTGCAGGCATATGATCCGTTCAGCCGTTCATACATTTTTTTTTTTAAATTCATTTTAGCCTGTACAGCTGATCAAAAGACTAGGTTACACTAACAACAGACATTGATAAACTGGAAGTGTACAAATGCCATGAATTCCTTTTCATAAAACAAGCTGGATGTCTTTTGTAACTTATGCCCTTGTTGCTTTGTGTCAGAAGACCAAGAAGAAGAAGAAGTAGGTTCAAAATGATATTAATAAACATTATTCTTTTCTGTTTTCAGGTTATAAATTCATTGTGGTAACAACTGCAATAACAAACAGTTCAAGACTCATTGAGGCATTGCTAGACAACCGTGTATGAAGCCTGTCACCACATCACCATGGACAGATACTGAGACATTCCTGCAGCCACTTGTCATGCATTCCCTTGAGCAAACTGATGTCAACAGATGGAAAATGTTCACTTCTGCTCTGTGTCTGACAATGAAGGCACTGTAAAGATGTATAAAGCTAATACATGTTTTTAACACACTTGTTGCTTCTTTACTTTATTTGTAGTTTTGCAGAGGTGAAATGTAAGTTTGTAAGTACAGATTTGAGGTACTTGAGTATTTCCATTTTAAATTAATGTTACTTGATACTACACTCCATTACATCTCAGAGGGAAATATTATACCTTTTACTACACTATATTTGTCTGACAATTTTAGTTACTGTACAGATTACAGTTTTTACCCCCTTCCTACACAAAACCACGTATCTCCAGATGTGTTGATGGTGAATGTTTGTGATAAATTGAAAGATGAGGTGTTCCTTTATGTGTTGAGAACATTTTCCTTCTTAAGCTTAATTAACTCTTAAAAACCCTCTTGGATCAGTTGGAAAATACATGGTCCTCACAGGACAGCCACGCAATGATTTTATAGATTATGATGCACTGCTGTAGATTAAACTACCCAACAGTATATAAAGGTGAGCACATCCTTAAACATCTACAGCGGTAAAATGACAAGCACACTTGAATGTAAGGTTTCGAGTAAGCAGAGTATTTTCACAGTGTGGTATTATTATTTTACTGCAGTAAAATGATCTAAATACTTGTTTCGCCACTGGTCTGCCGCATAGATTTTAAAAATAAGGTCTGCCCTGAATTTTTAAGTCTATTATTAACAACAGCGCAGTTGTTACATCAAGTGTCAAACTGCTGCAGAACATTGCCACACCCCCCATGACACCAGAATGTTTGTTTTTAGTCACGAGTTCTTCGGCGGTGGGCGGTTGATTCATAATTAACTGCCGAAGCTCCCAGTCGGGCTTCTCGAAGCTCCCGGCAGCCGGCATTGGTTTCATACAACATTCGCACCAACAGAAGGAGCCAATCACAGAACAGATCACCGCAGACTGCGTATTTTGAACTGTGTACAAACGGACAGGACTGAGAACAGGCAGAGAGGTGATGCTTCGCTCCTCTCTGTTATGAATTTTGGTTGTTTGAAGCTATCCAGAAATAATCGCGACAAAGAGGAATTTTACGATGAGAAAGAGGTAAGGTTAAAACTTTCTCTAGCGATAAAGTCAGTTTATTTAACATAACGTTATGTATGAGATAATTCGATAGCAAGTTGATCAGATTACATTAACATTAGCTAACACCAATGTCGGCTAACTCGTTCGGATGAGTGAATTCTGTGTCCTCTTTGGTTTAAATTAAATGTCTTTTGAAACGATTTATCGATAACCGAGTAGTGGTCGTCTCTGTAGCGAGGTGCTGGCAGCAGAGGCTGTGTCATGCCTGAATAAAGCCCTGTGCCACCTGAAGGACATCTGGGAGAAAATCGGTATCCCCGAGGATCAGAGACTGCAGAGAACTAATGTTGTCAAGAACCACATAAAGGTGAGAGACATCAGCAGCATGTGTCTACAGTAGCATTTTTTTTGTTTGGCTGAGAAGCTCTGGGAGTATTCTCAGAATGTTTTATTTATTTATTTATTTATTTATTTAAGTTAGAAGGGACAGTGCACATTAATTAACATTTGCATGTAAATATGCCGGATTATAGCCCCTGGCTAATTTTCATCCGTAGTCCCTTGGCAGGTTGATTTTACAAAGTAGTAAAAACGTTAGAAGAAAGGAAAGGAAGAAGAACGTGATAGTGAATACAGTAGATCACCGAGGACAAAAGGAGAAAAAAATTCATACCTTATAAGAGAAAACATAATAACATGGTGTACAAACATCAAAAACTGGGGCCATTGAATTGAATGCCTGTTTGTAAATACGGCCTCTGGTTTATTGGCAAGTAGTTTTCACCTAATACAACGAATGTGTTTTGGTGTTTTTATGCATAAGAATTTCAGGGTTCCCAAGGTCATAGATAACCAAGAAAAAAAACGTGATGGAATTTCACAATCACAATTCCAGGCCAGGAAAAGCAATGGAATTGGTAAAATCATTGACAATTTTGGAAAAGTCATGGAATTTTGTTGTGTGTAATGAAATTGTTATAGTAGCCTTTTGTGAATAACCTTCCATGTAATGTAACAACAGCAAGTTTATTTTCTGTAGCTGTCATTGTAACGTACCTCTAATATGCGTCGCTGTGTGACGTTTTGTTTATCATCACATATGCCTACACGTGTTCACTTTCTCCCGGCTTTCCATCTCACCCTTTAGGTATGCCCACCAGCTGAAATTATGTTCCAATAGAGTTTAAGTCGAGTTTTGCGGAAAAAAAAAAAAAAAAAAAATGGAAATTTTGTCCATGAAATGTGTGGGACCCCGGCAGTTAATATAGTAAGAGAAAATAAAACAAAACATAAAGCCATTACTGCAAAGTCAAGAAACATAAATATAGAATGAAAACCTTTACAATTAGCCTAAAGACGTGTCTCAGGCGTGTGTTAAGGTGTTACATACCTTTTTAAGGCTTCTTGACATGTTTTGGCAGAAACTTCCGCCTTCCTCAGAAGTGTCACTTGGTGGTGGTTGTAACGCATCTTTATCAGCTGATCTGTCAATCAGCTGATGTTAGGGAGGATGACCATCCTGTCAGTTTTGTCAAAACTGAAGTTTCTGCCGAAACATGTCAAGAAGCCTAAAAAAGGTAATGTAACACCTTAACACTTGTCTGAGATAAAAGAGCAACTAAAGTGAAGGTCAGTAACATGACAGGGTTTAAAGGGAGCATTTCAGAGAGGCAGATTCTCTCAGAAGTAAAGATGGGCAGAGGTTCACCACCCTGCAAAAAACTGTCTAAAAATTGTGGAACAATTTCAAAAAATAAGACTTTGAATATCCCACCATCTACAGTACATTATATCATCAAAAGAGTCAGAGAATCTGGAGATATCTCTGTTCGCAAGGGACAAGGCCGAAGGTCAATACTGGATCCTTGAGATCTTCGGGCCCTCAGGCAGCACTGCATTAGAAATAAAACAAATGCAAGGTAAAGTTGTATCATGCAAAGAAGAAACCATATGTGAACACTATCCAGAAACACCACCATCTTCTCTGGGCCAAAGCTCATTTAAAATGGTCTGAGGCAAAATGGAAAACTGTTCTGTGGTCAGATAAATCAAAGTTCTTTTTGGAAACCACGAACACCGTGTCCTGCGGACTAAGGAAGAGAGGGACCATCCAGCTTGTTATCAGTGCAAGCTTCAAAAGCCTGCATCTCTGATGGTATGGGGTTGCATTAGTGCCTATGTTGTGGGCAGCTTTCACATCTGGAAAGGCACTATCAATGCTGAAAAGTACATAGAGGTTTTAGAGCAACATATGCTCCCATCCAAACGACGTGTCTTTTAGGGAAGGCCTTGCATATTTCAGCAAGACAATGCTAAACCCCATACCGCATCATCACAACAGCATTGCTTCACAGTAGAAGAGTCCGGGTGCTGGACTGGCCTGTTTTATTTTGTTTTTTATTTCCTCCAACTACAGGCTTTCATTTCCTTCTTGTTATCAGCATTAGGACTAATCAGAGTGATGGCTCATTCATCACAAATGTGAAGTGATGTGTGAATGATTAATCAATCATCAGTTAACCTCAGGTGCATTAAGTTTGTCTTTTTATTACTACAGCCACAGCAGGCTATTTCTATTCAAATTATTACTGTTGCATTTACAAGCCGATGCTAGATTAATAACGCTAATACCAAACTTTCTTATTTTCACTTGAGGCAGCAGTGAGACAATGAGGAAGCTCCACAAATTGTTGAAGGAAAAACTGCAAGATAAAAGGATGTAATAATGTTATGCAGCAATTAACATGTCATGTATACCTCAGTTGATGTGCTTTGTGCTTACTTCCTGCTGTGTTTGCGGACATAAGTAGTGTATATTAATAAGGACTGGTACTAATAAAGCAGCATTTTTTTAACACCTGTGTCTGTAGCAGGGACCAGTATTAATGAATAATAGATTAACAACATGGCTGAAACTAGATATATGGTTGCAACCTAGTAGCTGGATACTGGTAAGAATTTCAATACCCACAAATATATGGAATACTGATTTATTTTTTATGTGTCCATCAGAACTTACTAGATATGATGATCAAAGAAGAGGAATCTCTGAAGAAGAGGCTCATAAACAGCATTCAGATATGCAGGACAGAAATGGAAAAACTCTGCCTGGAGCTTCAACTGCCTGTGTTTGAGGTAACAACAACTGTAACATCTTCAATGTTCAAAGCACTGTTACAGCACAGCTTGAGAAACCCTTTGTAAAGTGACTTTGTTGTTATCTCCTCTGTGTGTTCAGGAGGAGAATGGGATCAGCATGCTGCAGCAGGAGAAGAACATCCGCACACAGGTGGAGGCTCTAATGAAGGAGAAGACTCAGCGGAAGCAGCAGCTGAAGGTTCTTCTGGAGCAGGACCAGGACCTGTGTGATGTCCTGTGCTCCATGCCTTATGGCATCGCTCCAGACTCTGTCCCCACACCGGATCAACTGGAGAGCTTCAGCCAGCATATTGTTAACCAGAACGCAGAGAAGGTGGGAGCTTGCTGCTCAGATGTTTTGCCTGCATGAAAAGACAAGCAAATTTCTGCCAGGGTTGCAGGTTAAACTGTAGGTGAAGGTGGCAGATGGGCACCAACTGTACTCGGAAATTGTTTGTTTTTTGTCTGTGCAGCACAGTAATCACCTGTGTTTCAGTGTCTCTGTAAGGTGAAAGCCTCATTTTAGCAATTTACTTAGTTGATGTGCTCCCCTAGGTTGATAAAATTCAAACCCCACCTTTTTAAAGTATATTTTTTTATGAAACCATAAAAAGAAGAAACATTAGTGGGTGCTCTCAGGTAAACTCCAGGTAAACACGAGGTGCTCTTGAAGTTGAATATTAACTGTTCAAAATATATTTTTTTTTATCTGACTAGTGATATCCATCCATCCACTATCTGTAACCTCTAATCAAATTCAGAGTCATAAGCAAGTAAGATTTAAGAAAAAAAGAACTTAAAGTCTGGGTTTCAACAGAAGGTCCACGAACTCCAGAGGGTCCTCAGAGTTACTTAAAATGATTTAATTCAAATAAAATTTTAAGAAATTATATAATTAAAATATGTCTGAAAATGCACATTAATATGAATCCAACATTCAGATTCAGATTCAGAATACTTTATTAGTCCCAGAAGGGCAATTCATTTTTACAGTCATATCAGGAAAGATAAATCAACCTATTCATTAAAAAATAATACTAATAATTTACAGTACTCAACGTTAATGCAAGTAGTAGACTAACTGTTACAAGGGGTGGGGGGGAAATCAATACAGCCTAGTATAGCAATATTTTTGTGTGGCAAAATCGTATTGATGCACAGACGCCAAGTATTGACTTTTTTATTATATAAATTATTAATATTACATATACAAAGGTAACTTTTAGTAGCCCTCTAGAATAATAAAATCAATTGCTTTTCAGTCCACTAGATACATTTAGCTGCTACAAGAAGCGCTGAAGTGAGATGAACAGACTGAAAACTTTATCTTATTTGATAAAACAGATGTTGACAAAGTTTCCTTTTAAAACATAATTTACAGATGTAAAAGGGTAATAAATCGCAATACATGTTATCACAATATGTTATCGCAATAGGCCGTGTATCATAACATGTTTAAAATCACAATAATATTGTTTTGTGACTTAAGTATCGTGATAATGTTGAATCGTGGGGCCTCTGGTGATTCCCTCTCCTGTTACCTAAGAATGCTTGTGCAATCATGTGAGCTAGCCATAGACTCTAAAAATAATAGATGCAGCTACCGTGATTGTCCTGTCCTCTTCATACGTCTTGCATAAATTCACAGGCAGATAAACTCCATCCCCAATTATCACGCAGACAGTGATGTATCAAGTTGACTGTCTTTAATGAGGTAACTGGCAGTAGGGTAAAACTGACAAAGAAAAGGCATACAATTAACAAAGTGTCCAAATTCCTACTACAATATATGTAAGAGAAGCATTAAGTACCTTAACCTAAAAAAAATACAGTGCATTAAACAATACAACTAATTTCCAATTATACCATAAGTTGACAACTGGAAGCATAATGTTGCTAGATACAATATATCTTATGCACATTTCCTTACTGAGAGCTAGTCAGAACATGTGGCTGCAATGAATACACTATCAACATTTTTATCTTTATATAAACCTTACAAACATCTCAAATCTATAAAAATATACAAATAAATGATAAACCCAAGGTTTATTTTTACATACCAACGATGCTTTCAAACGCCCGAACACCAGAATGATGTCCGATAAAAAAGGGCATGAGCTCTCCCCTGGCTCTGACATGGAGAACTGATCAGTCGCCTACTGATGATGTCATCAGCCAGAGACACACACTATGTGATTTAAATGACTGCTATAAAAATCCACCAGCAGGGGGTGCTAAGTGACAACTAAACATACTGACTAATAAAATAACCCTGGTAAGGCAGAACAGTGATGCCACCCATTGGTTTGTGGACTCCTGCTTTGAAACCTTGATTTTGGCATTTTTGCTGTCGCCATCTTGATTTTTGGAGCCAGAAGTGATCATATGGATCAGAGGCTGGAACTGTGGAGGAGTGAGGGGTGGGTCTGAGTGCAGTGACGCCACACAGACAGCGTCACTCAAGCGTACCTACCCTAGATTATGCATAACTTTGTAAATGGGTGGCAGCACTTATCCATAATGGTGGGCTGAAGTAGTTGGCAAAAATGTACATTCTTTCAAAACGTATTGGCCAGTTAGCTGCACTATTATTCCAAGTACACAGACACTCTTGTGCGCCACAATGGATCGCTTAGTACATTTTCGAGCAAGAGACTTTGACATACCATCTACCTAAGAAACCACATAGACATGCTATAACTGCTGCTGACTTAAGGTGCTCACAGACTCAGGTGTACTATAAGTGGAGCGGACTCTGCGAGGAATGTCCGCAGTCATTCGGGCTTTCATAGTTGAGCGCACTTCCGCGTTGTAGTTTCCTGTAAAATTGTGAAAAATCCCCGCGATGTGAAAAATATTTGACAAGCAGTCACTGGTGTGCGGAGCGGAGTCCGCGTGGACGTAAAATCTGAGCTTTGAGCGCACAGGGCTTGTGGACGTCTGCTTTTAGTCTGGGCGGACCTCCGCGGAGTCCGCTCCGCGTACGTTCCACCTGAGTATGTTTGGGCCTTAACGCACATAGACATGCTATAACTGCACACAAGCCCGAAAATGTTCAAAAATTATCTCAAGTGCAACTTGAATTTCATACGGTATATGTAGCAGGGGGTCTCTGCTCCATATCTCTTGAAGTAAGGGGTTCTTGGCCAGAAAAACTTGGAAGACCCTTGATTTTAAGTTTTATCAAATGTCTTTAAGGTTCTCGTCTTTGTTTGACATGTTTTCACATGAATCTGAACATTGTTGTAATCATCTTGCAATCATCTTACTGGAACTGTCATATTTACTGTCTACTTGTAAATGGTAACATTTAGACCTGTTATCACATCACTTTAGGAAATCTGTAAAGTGTATTTTTGCAACCTGACATTTCGTAGTCTGCTGCTACTAAGAGTTAATTTACAGCTAAAGTCTGATGGTCATAAAATAAAAAATGTAGGTTCGATTGCCACAAAATCTGTTTTTGCATTGGTTGAAAATTTTATACACACTCGTCAATGCTAGATGCCTCTGAGTACATATATATTATATTCTAATATATTATTTGACATTTCACGAAAAAGAGATGTGATTGGTTTAAATTAGTGTTGCACGGTATACTGGTACCAACGGTAGACCGCGGTACTAAAACACCACGGTACATATGACACCATAATGTTGGAGTATCGTAGTACCATGGTCCCTCATGGTACCACTACTGTGGGATAAGTTCAAAGTCCAATCGCAAGAGGGTGAGTGTCCATGCGCCAACCAATAACGGCACGCGCTGGCCACCTGGCACTCAATATGCTGCTGCAGTGGTTTGTTTTCCAGTGACATTTCAGGTATTAGCTGAGCTATTGAGTATCTTTAAGCAGTGAAAGTTATTATTTATTTCTTTTTACTTGTAGGCTAGATTTGTTTATATATCAGGGTTCAACGCTAAGGTTTTTTTTCCACTTGCCTGGTCGGGCAAGTTGGTCAGAGATCTACTTGCCCAAAGTCAGTTTTTACTTGCCCTGTAAAAACTGTTTAATTTAAGTGGCTATCAATTAACAAAGACTGCAGTTATTTTTATGTTATGTAATCTTTATTCACACTGTATTTATTAATTAAAACAACATATGTCATGTATTGTAGCTTAATTCCTACACAAAAATGACAGTGTCAGGGCTTAAAGTGAAAAATTTGTCAGTCGTTCTCTGTCTATAATTTTGCGCCCTACTTGAGCCATGCCCACCTCTATTTATTTTTCACCCCTCTCTCCAGTTCTGCTGTATTAACACCAGGTTTAATATATTTTGCTTCCATCTCTCTGCCCTGCTCTACTCTACTTCAACGCTACTTAGCTCTCTCCCTACTCTACCAGTAGACTACCACATCCACCTGTTGCACAAAACGCACACAGCAGTGTTTCCCCTAGGATGGAGTTGTAGCAGCGGAGCTGAAGCACACACATGAAAAATAATTTTCACATGCGTGAAACTTTTTTGTATGCTTGCAAAGCACAGCCTGCTGGGAGGTTTCTATGTATCTACTGGCACCAGAAGGGCTCTTTAGGACTAAGTACATACAGTACATGTGTGCACAGTAATGAGCAGGTGAAATGTCTGTCTAGCTTACATATGAGGTGTCTCAAGATTTAGGAACATACAATTTTATTGAATATAATAAAGTAAAAAGTCACATGACATGCTGCTGTTTTGTGCTGTGACCTATTTAAGTGTTGGAAGTTGTTATTTACGTGACAACGCCTGAACGCAACACAAGCTCAGCACGAGTGCCATGCTACGCTGCTGTGCGAGCAGCTGTTTGTCTGTGCGTAACAGCAGTCTGTTGGTTATTTACACAGTGTCCATAACAATAACTTTGTCAGCTGACAAACTGCACCGGGCCCGGGGTCAGGTTTGGTCAGGAAAACGCGGCCCGAGCCGCTCTAGCGTGATCACCTGTGTGTGTGGTGGAACTCCGCCGTGCGCGATACAGAGAGCAGAGGAGAATTGTTAACGCGTGAATATGTAGAGACAGAAATGACACAATGATGTAACACCATAAATAGTATATTGTTCTGTTATTATATGAAGCGTCCGTCGCGCAAAATAATATCAATGGGGGCAGTGGGCAGGACATTGTTACACAGCTGTGCCTGTGACTTCAGGCAGAGAGACCGCTGCATCAGAGCCGAAGGAGCACGTTTTAAAATACGTTTATTTTATCAATTAGCTGCTGTAAAAATAGACTAAAAATAATTTCGTGCGAGCAAAAGAAATAATTCAAGAGCACACTGTGCGAGTACAGATTTCAACCAGCAGCAGAAACGAAAGGTGAATCCTGCCAGTTGTGGGTTGAACGGGGGTCACAGACAGGAATACGGCAGAGCACTATGGCCACCGCAAGATAGTGCTTTACCGGTGACCGAGAAGCCCGGCTCCAGGTCCAATAATTTCCTCTTCGTTGGTGTCATGACTGCTCAGAAGTACCTGAACAGCTGAGCCGTGGCGGCACATAGGTATGTGACGTGTCAGAGGAGAAACGAGCCGTTCACATTTCTTTTTGTGGCAGGTAACGGTCCACAAACCTCACCGCACTGAAGGGACTATTCTTTACTTGTCAGGGGAGGAGGGTGGCTAGTTGATTTATATTTTATTTATTTATTTTATTTTTATCCCACCTATGTTAATCACTTATTGATGCTGCTTTTGAAGTATGAATAAGTCACTAAGTTATTTATTCCATTGAAATATCATTGATGTATTATAGAAAAGTGATTTATCTTTTTCTAAATGACAAAAGGCATGTCTGCCTAATTCTTGCTGTGGTATCATGATACTACTCAGAACTGTGATACTTTCACTGGTATCGTACTGTGGGTCCCAATTTTGGTACCGTGACAACACTAGTTTAAATATTTAAATACATATCTGGCATAAATATAGCAGGTCACTACAACGGTCACTACAACACCTCACAACAACTTCTGTCATAAACAACCTAATGTGTACTCAACAAAATGGTGCACTGCTGTCATGTTTTCAGGTGAGGCGGTATGCTGAGTTCATGGACCTCAAAAGGCAGATCACCTTGCACATGGAGGAGCTGGACTACATCCCAGAGACCAGCTTTGAGAATGACGTCATCTGTGAGGATGAGGACTCTTTTTGCCTTTCCAGAGACAATATTGCGGCACTCAAACTGCTGGTTTGTCAGGTAAGATGCTGTTTATAATACTGCATTTAGTGAAGCTTTAAACCAGTTGGGCAGGGCTGTTCACAATGGACATCAGACCAACCCATAATTGATGCATAGCAGCCGAGTTTGTAACTGATACTCCTTTGTTTTTGTTGATGTTGCAGCTTGAGGAACGTAAGGCAGAGAATGAAGCGATGTGTGAGGCTCACAGAGAGAAGATCCAGCGGTTGTGGGACAGACTGCAGGTGCCCCAGGAGGAGAGGGACGCCTTCAACGAACACATGGTCATGTCCAAAAAGAGGAACCTGGAGGCGGTGAGAAGATTTGAGTGTAACTTCCTAGTACATCTAATATTAGTTTTCTTTTTTCCTGTTATTCATGGTCTGACTGTCAGTACTGTGACTGTTTTTTTTGCCCTGCTCACTTTGTTTCTCTTCTTCAGTTGCAAGCAGAAATTCAACGTCTGGAGGAGCTCAAACTACTAAACGTCCGCAATGTCACAGATGCCCTCCGCTCCGAGATTGCTGTGTTTTGGGAAAAGTGCTTCTTCAGCACTGACCAGCGGCAGGCATTTTCTCCGTATTTCAGTGGTAGGTTCGCTTGTGTAACATCTCAGTTGTCTTAATCAGAACAGTACTGGGGCTGTATTCACAAAGCTTCTGAGAATACTCTCAGAGAGCTGCTAACGTAGCCTAAATTTTTTTAGTAAGGAGTCTTAGCCTAGGAGTGATTTAGGAAAGTTTTCAGAGCATCTCTGAGCGAGGAAGGGACAGAAACGTTTATCTTAGTGAGGAGGTATGTTTGACCCCTTTTGTTAGGTATGACACTCTTTTAACAGATGTGATTGGTTGTCACAGACACGCCCTGTTGTGAGCCTGCAAGGTGTGGACACCCAGTGGAAATGAAATGAACTGCTGACTGTGAAAATGTTATTATTAGTGTGATCTCTGCCCCAGGTCATCACTGCTGCACTGTCGCATTTTCTAGTTTTTCAGATATCTTAGTAGTGATAATTTTATTTCTGGTGTTATGGCGTTAGGTGTGAAATGTATATGTACTCCTAATGAGATCAACCACACATATTATCCATGCACGATCTAATCTGTGGCATTTCATTTACTCACTGCCATGCATTGTTTGGAGAATATTTCTTGTACTCCTTTGTGTCTCTGCCATTTTCTCCTCTGCTTAAGAAACTCTTAAACATCTTTAAAGTCCTCCCTGCTGCACTTAACAGTTTTCACCTTAGGAGCTCTTTTAAGGACTAAGATTCTCTGTGAATAATTTATCTTTACAAGGACCTAGTCTTAACTTTGAGGGGAAATTCTAACAAAACGTCACAATTCTAAGAATTTTCTTAGAATTTCGTCACTGGGAGCAATCTTAGCACCAGGAAGCTTTGTGAATAAGGCCCCTGGGCCCGTATTCACAAAGATTCTCAGAGTCCTCTCAGAGAGCTCCTAACTTAGCCTAAAAATTCCTAGCAAGGAATCTTAGCTTAAGTGTGATTCAGGAAGTTTCTTATAGCAACTCTGAGCAAGGAGGGTACAGAAACTTTTATCTTAGTGAGGAGGTGTGGTTGACCCCGTTGCTAGGTATGACGCAGTCTTCTAAAAGCTGTGACTGGTTGCTACAAAAAGAAAAGAAAAAAATGCGCTCCTAGTAATGAATGGACAGTGAAATCAACCGATCATACTGTAGAACTTAGACTGTAGGCTATTAAGAAATGTGTAATCGTGAAAATAATTTTGTCATGATGATGAAACTCAGCAAAATTAAATTAATTGTTACACAGCTTCAAAATGTTAGAACGTACCTCATTCACATGCCGATTATTATATTGATTTGCTTATTGTTATGTTTACTCGCCATGCTGGTAATTTTACTACTTAAAGGAGCTATATGTAAGAAATCTAAAGCAAATAGTTGTAAAATCATCCTAATATGTCACAGAGACTAAGGAATAATGTTCATATAACATACTGATCTCACCGACAACAATAGCACAGCCAGAATATTCGCTTTTAAAAAACATTTTTACAGTCCGCAAATCATGTTTATGTTTTGAATTTGTGTTTTGCGCCACCCACCGCTGTCTACCAGTCACACAGTCAGTAGAGTCTCAGCATCAGTTATAGTTACGACTGAGCTACAGCAGCATGGCAAGCAGCATTAGCAGTGTCCCGGTACATAGCATTAGCAGCCGGCTCCTCCACCGCTGTATCCTGGCAGCAGCGTTAGCAGTGTCCTGGTACATAGCATTAGCAGCCGACTCCTCCTCAGCTGTATCCTGGCAGCAGCGTTAGCAGTGTCCCGGTACATAGTATTAGCAGCCGGCTCCTCCTCAGCTGTATCCTGGCAACAGCGTTAGCAGTGCCCCGGTACATAGCATTAGCAGCCAGCTCCTCCACCGTTGTATCCTGGCAGCAGCATTAGCAGCAGAGAAGCCGGACTTGCTCGAACGGTCCGCTGGAAAACTGAAGATCAAGGACGCGGCAACGCGGTGCCCGTGGGCAAACAAATCAGTCTCCAGTGTGCCGCCGTCCAGCAACCTCGAAACTGTAGGGGAGGGGGGGTGGACACGACTTGCAGCAGTATTTTGAATTTGAGTGCAGTGCAGTAACAGTTTTGGCCACATTCTTACATACAGCGCCTTTAATCTATTTGATATTAATGGTGGACGCAGACTCACCTGTCAGCAATTACTGTGATTGCTGGCCTCCTTGTAAAAAGCGGTTTGATTTGGCAGAATGGCCAAAACAACGAACGAAATGGAGAAAAAAAAAAGAACGAGAAAGCCAAACTGGACAGAAGAGCAGTGCCTGCTGTTGGCCCAGCTCATGGAAGAGAACAAATGAGTTTTGAGAGGGAAATTCGGTCCCAGGATCACGGCACAAGGGAAGAGGTAGACTTGGGAGCACATTGCCCAACAAATGAATGCGTCGTTCCTTCTCCTTTTACGCACAAGTGATGAGTGTGAGAAGTGCTGCTACGTGCTGCAATCCAAAGCGAGCATTATTGCATTACTACGCTGGGTGGCAAAAGAAAGCTCAACCCTGATGAGGTTAACCACAAACATTCTCCCTGCACGATCAAGCCGGTAGCGTCTTATTAAATCACTGTCGTTCAATATACGGAGAATATCTCTCCTTCCTCTCTGTCCTTCTGCCATCTTCTCTGTTTAAGACAATCTTAGGCTTCTTAAAAGTCCTCCTCCCTCCTCTTAACAATTTTTCACCTTAGGAGCTTTCTTAAGGCCTAAGATGCTTTGTGAATAACTTTTATCTTGCCAAGGGAAAATTCTAAGAAAAATCTTAGATTTTTCTTAGAATGACGTCATAAGAGCTACTTTTAGTCTTAGGATTCTTTGTGAATACAGGCCCTGGAGTTTTAAAAGTGCTAAGACTTTAAGTGATTATTTTAGAGGCTTTTACCGAAGAGCTGCTGAGTCTGCATGATGCTGAGATCCAGAGGCTGAAGCAGCATTATGAGGATCACAAAGAGCTTTTTGATGGAGTTCACCAGTGGGAAGAAAGCTGGAGACTCTTCCTCGAGCTGGAGGTGAGTACACTCTTATGATATCATATGGTCCTTTCCTTGTTAAGGCCTAGTAGGGATGTCAGAAGAGGGGGGGGGGGGGGGGGGGGGGGGGGGGGCGGGGGGGTTCCTGCAGGCCAAGGACCGATTTTAAGGGGTGGGGGAAAAATAGATTCTTAGATCTTAGATGCATTGCTATGCGGACGTGGATTCGGCATTGATTGGCAAATGTTAATAATCGATTATGTTAATATACTTCATGTTTGCAAGGCACTTATGCCATCACACAGAGACTAACATTAACAAGAGGAGCAGCGATTGGCATGTAATCCGGCTGAATCACACACACTGCAGCATTAACCAAATTTAAAGACCTCTGTGGTGAAGACAGTAGCCATGTCAGCCTGTTTAGATGTGCATCTAGAAGTACCGCATTGGAAAATTATGATGGAAACGCCAAAATTCGAATTAAAATCCCCTGATTCACACAAACTAAAATACGCTCGCTTTAGCCGGGGTTGGTTGATTTGAAAAAATGTTGATTCGCAAAACGGGGGATGGAAACAGTTATGTTCGAATTAAGTCTGATATAACGCACCTCTCTTCATGGTGATATCCACACTCCGGGTCGGGAAGGCGGTAATGCATTTACAAGCTGGTTGCCAACCGCCAGAAAACGTAGAAGAAGAAGAATGCAAGACTTGTTTTGTTTCCGGTTCTGCGGAAAATTCGCGCGAGTTCATAGTTTTCACCAAAGTCCGTACATTTAATGGAAACACACAGGATTCGTATCTTTTAATGCGCATTTCCCAATGATTCGAATCACTTTTGGATGGAAACATAGCTAATAAGGACACATTTACACTGACACTATTTGGTCCGCTTCCACAGAAAGTTCGGTTCGTTTGGAGTGGTGTGAACGCTCATTCAAACTCTGGTGCAGACCAAACGATCAAACCATGGTCTGCTTGAAACCTGGGGGTCTCAATTCACTCACAAGTGAACCCTGTTGCGGTTTCCTTACAGTGGGAAATGCAAACGGACTATCCAGCTAACCAAAGAGAGGAAGTGACGTAGAGTGCAGTGCATTTTGGGCAGAAAAAAAACAAAGCCAACAGCGCAAACTGGGAAAAGCAGAGGTAAAAAAAGAAAAGGTTGGAAAATGTCTCGTGGGCAGACGTGGAGTAGTGAGGAGGTGCAGGCAGGATTTCCGTTTTCGGTCCTGGCCAATCAATGAGCCAGGTTTTCTTCTTCCTCATGCCTTTTTTACTTGCTGGTCAGTGGTTTTGGGCAATACCGTCTCCAAACGAGCAGCTGTTGTAACTGCGCAACGTTGTTCAGGCGGTTTGGTCCGCTTTAAAAAGTGCAGTGTGAAAGTGAACCGAACCAAATGAAGGTGTGAAATTTTTTGGCATTACCTGCCCAATCGAACAGAGTCCCTCGGACTACAGTAGGATAGTCCACAAAAACAATGGAGCAACACCAATAGTCAGGGCTTGACGCTAACTTTTTTCCCAAGGAGCACATGTGCTCCTAAGTTGAAAAAGTAAGGAGCGCACAAAGAACTTTAGGGGCACAATGTAAATTGATCAAATAATGTGTTTTCCGTAATAAACGTGATGCAAATAGACATTTACAATGTGAGAGACATCCCTCAGTTGGGACCCATGGTACAATACCAGTGAAAGTATCATGGTTCTGAGGCAGATGTGCCTTTGTCATTTATAAAAAAAAATAAATCACTTTTCTATAATACATCAATGATATATTTCAATGGAATAAATTACTTATTGACTTATTCATACTTCAAAAACAGCATCAATAAGTGATTAACATGGGGGGGATCAAAATAAAATAAATGAAATAAAAATCAACCAGCCACCCTCCTCCCCTGACAAGTTCCTTCATAAGTAACGAACAGTCCCTAAAGTTTCTCCTCTGATACGACACATACTGTGTGCCGCCATGGCTCAGCTGTTCAGGTATTTTTGGGCAGTCCTGACAACAAGTTATTCACCTGGAGCTGGAATTCTTTGCCTGTAAGCCGTTATAATGTGCTGCCGTATTTGACAGGAATACGTATTCCTGTCCGTGTCTGTGACCCCGTTCAACCCACAACCGGCGGGATTCGCCGTTATTGTTTATCGCCACACTGCCGACATTTTACTCTGTCCATCACCGCACGCTGTTTGATTGCGTTATCAAAACACGTCACTATTATTCGGCCTTGCTTTTCACTTATTCCACCGAATACCGAATGTGTGTTTTTTTTTTTTTTTTACAATACGCGGCCGAATATATTCGGTGCATCCCTAAATAGGAGCCTTCCCCCACTCCCCACTCCCCTCACCGCTGCTCTCCTCACTATACTGGCTGCTGCGCTGTGCAAGTGCACAGATGTCTCAGAGGGGTGGTGCATTTGCAAAAATGTTTTGAAGGAGCAGCAGCGGCGGTCCCTGACTGCAGGGAGAACGGAGCAGGCCTCCCCGGAGGTCCGCCGCTTTTCCCGGTCCATCTCCTCCACACTTTTACTTATTTCCACCCTGCCGACAGTGGGACTTATATTCACTGTGCCGACAGTGGCTTGGAAAACCGCCCATAACACCAGGGCCTGCCCTGCCTGCGAAGCGCAGCGCACCGAAATTCTCCCGCGAGCCAGAGCACTTCCGTTCACATCAGACGCGCCTTTCTCCACACTGGTCGACAAGCGGTTCTGCTCCCAGCTGTTGTCTCCGTCACATTTGGGGCTGTTTTTCCATTATGGGTAACTACCCAGCTTGACACATTAGCTCGCAGCTCGCGCAGAAAATAGACCAGACGCCGAAATGATCACTACAGGGCCGGCGGCGGAGCTGCGCGGTGCGGCCGGTGTGGATTACACAATCGGTTAACATGGGCGCCGAAAGGAAACTGGCTTCACTTCTCGGCGCTTTGAGGCTATTCGCGGCTCTTCCGCGGGCGGTGTGGTTCTTAACCGTGTCACATGGGGAAGAGGGAAGAGGGAAGGTAGCTGGAGTTCCTCCAACATTTGCGGTTAGATTATCATATTTTTTTATTGACAAAAATATAGGCTGCTTCGGCTGATTTTTTATGCGCACATGTGCCCCTAAATATTTTTTACAGTTCGCACACACCTATTTTTAGTCGCAAATGCGAGTGAAACGCTTGCACTGCCGAGCCCTGCTTGTTATTGAAATAGTAATCTTTGTTCAATCATTGTGTTTATAGACTTTACAAACATCAGATTGGTCTAAATGGTGATATAGTGACGTGAAAAATGTGTCATATA